CTAATTATGGTTGTCAAATATTCAATTTCTGGTGTGAACAACACAAATGTCAACATGCTGACAGTGTTACTAGTGTGAAGACCATTGCTACAAAGTCACTGAAGTACTTAAGCCAAATGAAGTCTTCTGGGTCTTTCTCATCATCTTATAAAAATTATTTTTAAAGTTAAGATCTCATGACCTTCAAAACCTTATGTTTTATCCAGGAACTCTTGAAAGTCCCAGTTTGTTAATGCCTCCTAAGTTCCATAAAAGAACATTGCATGAGGAAAAGGGATCAAATTAGTTTACCAGTTTCTTTACATTGACTCTTTTGACTCTTCCTACTTCACCACCCAAGCATCATCCCAGCATGAAGCTGATCATAGGAACTAGGCAGCCACTAATCATGTTTCAGGCTCAGCTGAGTTTCTTTATCAATATATCAATACTGAATCAGAGTTGAATGACACCTAATTGCAGTACACAGCATGACTGCAAAAGGCCTCAGTCACTCAGGGCAAAAAATTGCCTCTACTGAAGTCAAAGATCTTTGCAAGTGCTTTCAGGAGTCCCAGGGTTAAAAGCATTATGGTTTTCATAGTATTCTTAATTTTGGTCTGGAGCACAGACTCTTTCAGCCCCTGACATTTCAGATCAGGCTACGTAATAACCATCCTCCAGATAGTTACATTTACTCCCAAATGGTCCTGAATTTTAATAAACCTGTAGGTGTGAGAGGGCGTAAAGCTCTTGTCCTTGGCTAAACCCTTAACTGTGTGTTTGAGATCTCAACTACTTTAATATAGGATTTATCAGTATTACTACTTCTTTCAGTCATGCGCTGAATCCCAGCACAGAAGCTTCTGTATGATTCACTGGCACTGAAGTAACGGCACTTACAGATAAACAAGGAGAACAGAGGAAGATACGATGTAAAATATCTGTAATATTTTACAGAGCATAGGCTCACATTTTCACATGCACCGAGGTAAATAGGAAGCCCATGGTTATATTCTTGTGAGCTTTAGGTGCTTAGAGCCCCGAAGCCTGAACTGTGCTGTAGTCAGTTTTAAAAATGGGAATTCAGACACCTATGTTAATAAAAGATCAGATTCCTCATAAAGTGATTTAGGCTTCAACTTCACATGTTTTCAAACAGATTCGTGCAGCCAAACAATTTGGGTATCTGTGCTTCATATTTAGCCACAAGAATGTTGTAACCATGAAGAAACCTTTTCAGGTCTTGCTCCCCAAGGTTGGTCTTATGTTCATAAAATGACATTAGTTTTTTGCAAAAAATAAGAGATATTAAGATAGAAATTCTCCAAGATGCTTTGAGGAGACTCTAAAAACTATGCATTTATTGGGAGCAGAAGGCAGAAGCAGGGGCTTCTAAGAATCATGATTTCAGCTATCAGGGCATATCGGGCTAATACTCTACTGTATCTTTGGGGATTAGAAGTGACTAAGGGCAGGTCCATTCAGTTATGGTATTCCTGGTATAACTGGAAGATAATGAGTGTGAGACAGTAAATTTACCCATAGCATCCCTGCATTGATTCATCATCTAAAAAGCCTTTTCATCTTCTAAAATACAGAGCCGATTGTAATATTCCAGTACTAAAATGACAGATGTAATTCTTCTACTTATATTAACTTTATTTAGCTATTCTTAATTTTATATAACTTCATCTTAAAATAAAGATGTATGCTTTTCAAATACAATATTCCTTGACATGGCCAGTTCATTTTATTTTTCATTTTAGATCATCATATTTATACCATTTTCTTACTGACCTCTCACATCAGCTTTTACAGCAGCTTTCAAGAAGGTAACCGATTTCATGGTTCAAAGCAATGATGATCCTTCAGAACGAAGGTTTGAAGCTGGAGATAGTTGGAAAAATGCAGATAGCATAAAAATATAAATATATATAACCCTCCCACAAAAATACCATCTCTTCGGTTCAGAACAGAAAAGTCATTCTTTAACACTTTGTATAGAATTTAAGAAAACATCCCTGAACCTATGTGTTTTTCCAAGTTCATACCCAGCCACTTCCCTGCAGGCTGATTTCACACTGTTCTTCCATAGAGTGACTGTGTCTTCGATGAAATGATCTGTTTCCTTGTGCTTTAGGCTTCCTCTTGGCCCTGGAGTGTTACTGTAATATGAAATATGATGACATATTTTTCTTTTATAGGGCTTTTCATATTGGATGTATTGACAAGTAGGTGTAAAGTGTCTTCTGTTTGCTAGCTCCTTTGTCAGCTGCTGTGGACGCGCCCTTGACTGGAAGCTCTCCTTACCCATTCAGATTGCTGTGCCAGTATTTTCCTTGACATATATACAATCTAAAACTCTTGTGCTGACATCCCAGGTGCGTTGACTTGTTACTGACCAAGAGGGGGTGGAACAGCAAGGCACAGAAAATCCACTATACGTTCTAACATTTAGGCTTTATCCTTTATTAGGTAGTAAGAGACATAAAAAGAATTGAGTTTGTTGTTTACAGCTGAAATTTAAAAGAGACTTATGTGAACAAAAACTTGTTCCATAGAGCACTGTGACAAAAGAGGTCCAAGAAAACTGAAGGTGTCATTGCAAATTAGCTGATGTAAGTACTTGGAATGACACTCATTATTTCTAGGAAAACTTGTATTAACTCTGCCCTTAGTACTGTGCCTCCATACATGCCACAGGCCACATTTTGGCAAGGATCAGCCTGTTGATTTTGATGGCATCACAACAACATGGCAGGATGTACAGCAGGTGTCCATGCACCAGAAGGCCATGCATAAGAGCCTACAGGATATTTACGGGTCTCCTCTTTGCCCATCTACGTGTTTTTCATGGGGAAAAGATTGCCTGCCCAGACCTTCTTCCTCCCCAAAATGCCAGTCCTCCTCCGCTCGTTTAGCAAGCTCGCTCTTACACAGGCTATGACAAAAGGCTCTGGAGATAAATGGTGGTTCATGGAGCACAGCTTGAAAACTGGTGCCCTATTGAAGGAGGAATCCGAACACAGCTGGCAATGGCACTAGAATCTGCAAAAAGATGGACGGTTGAAAGCAGGCTTAAAAGACTAAGGCCAAGATTTTGCAAAGAGGAGTTGAACCTTACTACACTATATTTATGTACCCAAATAAATGGAAACATTTTCTCAATTGAGTGTTAGGTGCAGGTTTTGAAGGCTGCCCTGTTTACTGCCTCTTTACTGGGAGCTGTAGAGTAGGGAGCCCTTTTAAATGTCAGCCCCTAGTTATTTAGGTGCCTAAACTTGGCTTCAGGAACTTACTCATACTCTTCTTGTTTTGGAAACTTGGCCAAAGCAACCCAGCTAGTAACCAGCCCTGAAATCACTATCTCATCTTTTTCATGGCTACATAGAAGTGAATTAAACATAACCAAAAGCCCATTTAATTTCAAGGCACAAATGTTTGCAAATAAACTGGATTAAATACAAATACATAATACAGAACTTATTTTAATACTTTTAGATAAATAAATGCATCTCTTTGGAATTCTTTGGACTCAGACATCCATGGAACCTCTTCTTTCTCTCTTTTTATATATTTTTTTTATAAAATCTAAATGCAGAGAGGTTTAAAAAATGGCAAATGCCAATGTATATGGAAGGCTCACTGATGAACTGCAAGTCAAAAGTGCTGTATATTCCCATCCTCTCCCAACTGTCCATATTAACCACAGGCAGTATCATATAGCAACCACATGGTCAATATTTTGCATTACTACCTTTTAATAAAATCTTTCAAATAATTTCCCCATCTAAACTGAAATTATGTTTTTAAATTTTATTCCTCCTAAATGTATGGAAGGCATTTCACTTAGCTACACATCAGAGTGGTCGTATGTGACTCAGCAGCGCACTCCATAATATTAATAGATACTTTTCAGCTCCCTATGGGAAAAAGCAGGCAGCAAGAATCAGATTTAAGAAGTCTATTTTTTTCTCTGCTGTTTGTTACTTACCACTTAATGACCCACATATGAAACTCAATGGTTATATAATTATTTTATATAGTAGATTTTCTGTTTATAAGTTATTTTTCTTACTCTAACATATATACAATATATCTATATATACCCCTGATAAATCTTACTTTAAAGGGACACAGTCAACCCCTTTAAGCCTCACAGTAAATATATAAGGCTTTAAGCTGTCCATACATAAAGGTCAGCTACAGAATTCAAGGGTCCCTTCAGATCCTAAAGGTTGTATTTGTTCCAAACCATGATGTGCAGTTATTTCATAATATGTATCTCACGTGTTGCTGTTTACATTTTATAGGTATTCAAGACATTTTATATCACATCAGTAGAAAACAAAACAAGAGAATAAATCTGTTTCTAAGACTAAGTCTATTGCAAAAAATGTTACCTGTATCTACAGACACTCCCACTGGTGTGATATAAAAAGAATATGTGCCATTCTTGAGATGAAATTCTGGCTACACTGCAGTCAGGAGGAACCTTATACTGACTTAAAAGAGGCCAGGTTTTCTCTCCTGCTTTTCATTTGCTAGTTATGACTACGCATAACCCATTTGTGTTTTCCCTCTGCTCAATACCGAGGTGTCAGGTCTGTTTCATGACAAGAGTGTATTTTTTCTGTCCACTGGCATGCCCTAAACATTGATCTATCCTGTATGTATTATACCTTTTGAATATACACACACTGTACACATATGTTCTCAGTTAAACAAAAGTTTGACCTATTCTGTGTACAGCATCTGGATTATTTTTTCCCCCCACTAAATCTTCTTCATCATTTACTTTGTCCTAAACATAGATTATCTTCATGCCCATTCTTCTGCAGGTGAAGAACACAATTTTTGCTTACCAGGAACAGCTCCACATTATTGTCATCATTTTTGACTGCTTACCAAAGTGACATAATTTGTTCATTTTATCTTTTGCAACTCAGTTAGAAACCTAGTGGCATAGATAGAGACACAATACTACTGTTTTACAAGACATCTATTGTATCTACTTTTGTTCAGATAAATACCCAGTAACTGCTGATTTGGCAGGAGGATTGGTAAGGGTACTACTATTCACAGTGTTTCTGTTTTTTTCTTCTTCTTTAATCTACAGAATAAGTATTTTATGTACATTGGAACCAGTTAATGCCCTTTAGACAAATTGTAAGTTGTTTCATAAAGCAGGAAAGACATTGCAGGGAAATATGTGCCAAAAAGCACAGTCAAAAGGCTTCATAAGTTTTATATGTCACTACAACTCAATGCTGGAGATCAGTTCTAAAACGATCAATACTCAAGAGGAATGTTCTCATCTGGAGAAAATACTGCCCATTCCCCCTTTTAGAATTTGTTCAGTTCTCTATCAAAAGTCCTGGCTCTTCATATATACTTTAAACTATAAATAAACACTGCATAGTTCAATGTTCTTGATTTTCTTTTTTTTGTTTGTTTTGATTCGAAAAATTATTGCAGTACAATTAATTCCTGTTTGGAGTTCAGTAAGGAGCAAACAGCACAGGAGTATGGGTGGTCCGTATAGGCCCCGGAGCTGGTCGTAGGAGTGCTGGAGGAAGTGCTGAAGTCTGGAAAAGGGTGGCTGCTGGGGCTGTGCGAAGACTGAAGGGGGAATTCACAGCCACAGTGCTGCTAGCGGATTTGGTAAGATTCGTGGAGCCATCGGCTTTGAAGGTTCCTTTGAAAATACTAATTTTACCTGTGGGGAAGAGAGAAAACAAACAAACAGAGAGACATAATTTGTTCATATTATCTACACGACAGGGAGCCTGACTTAAGATTATAAGTGCAAAATCAAGTAAGAGAGGCCTGGTGGTGGCTAGTGACTCTACAAGCTGTAGGCTTGCGACAGGAGATGTGATCTCGCACATTGGACAAGAGCGAGCAGGACTTGGCTGGGGACAAAGAGTTTCCAATGTTCATGCCTTATCACTGAGACTTCTGATTTAATATGAGATTAGAAATCAAAGCAAACCTAAAAAGGGGCTGGGCAATCTGTGCCAAAGTAAAGCTGCATGTACCCTGTGAGAATTAAATAAGGAAGAATTAACCATCAATTAAAAGACGTCCATCTGGACAGCTTTAGGATAGAGACAACAGCAGAGTGAAAACATATGCTGTTCCCTGGTCTGGCTAAGAAGGTACTTTTGGTTTTATCATTAGGATGCAAGTTCTACTTAAAATTAAGATTTCCAGTTAGCTCCTCTTTATTAGCTCTAGCCTCTATCAACAAGCAAATAAACAAAGCTTATCTTGCACCAGTTATGAAAATCTCCTAATGTTTCACATGTTCCAAAAAGTGATGAATTTGATGAGTGCTGTCCTATGTCACCTTGCTGTGTCTTCACATGTTTTTCACTGAGATACTGTTCATTCTTACAAGGATTGTGAAAAAGTGGCAGGTATTTTAGAATGTTGTCATGAAAAACTCTTGCCTATATCATTTAGTATGGTGCCAAATTGTGCTATTTTTGTTACTGTCACTGAGGCTTCTGCTTTAAAACCATTTAAATCATGAGTCTTGTGCACTACCAAATAGAATTTGAAAAACTCCTCACTCAGAGTTTCCAAAAAAACCCACCAAAAACCTCAAGCTTCTCCCAGACTGACTGAAAATACTCATAGAAGTCCACTATTATTTAAGAGAATTTACATTTGGTAAGCATACACATGAACATCAGCGTAGTCTATATAGTTTTCTGCAGATTTCAGTCGGATTTGAGGTTTCTAATGAGAAGCCAGGAGCCTGAATACCTTTATTGTTCTGGTTTTATAACTCTGAGATAAGAATAGAAACCATCCACTGACAAAGTTCCCATTGGCTCTGATGGACTTTTGGTGGGTCTGTGTCCTGGCATGACCTGAGGCCCTTTGCAAAGAACATAAACTGGAATATGTAGTATTGAATATACAGAATATGAATATAAGTACCATACTGTTGTCAACCTGTAAGTATGGACACTTCTCACTCACAGGGAAACACAGTTTACTTTCCATTCAAAAGTACCTTGGTGAGTGATAGAAAGTAAGGACAGGAGTAGTCTGGCATGAACCATCAGCGAGTTTCATCATTACACTATCACCATATTCAAAAAAAATCTGTTGGTTCTTTACCAGCCAGATGGATATAGGATTTTTACTTTTCTTAATACCCTTTGACAACTCTGCTGACCTCAAGGTCCTTTAAAGCTCTAGGAGAGATACTAAGAGGGGACCAGATTCTGTAATTCTGGGAAAACATAATGGATGGTAGATACAAAATACCTGATGGTGCCTTAGAAAAGCAATGATCTGATCTTTTCCTTGATCAGTGTTACACTCACTGATCCAAGCTGTCTTTTTCCCTTGCTAAGCATTTGAATTTTTCCTCCTTCCTTACAGTTTTCAGTAAAAACTTTTTTTCAGCCTTGTTTAGAACAGATAAGAAAACCCCTGGAGTACAAAGTACAAAAAACCCCAGCCAAAACAACAGGGGTCTGATTGTGGTGTAGAATTCCCAGTGAAGGATGTTTTTCATAAGTGGTATTTTATTGCAGAAAATTTGGACTATCTAATGCCCGATAACCTCTTTCTTTCCAGTGTACTATTTTATGCATGCTGGACATTTGTGGCTAGAAGAAATTGAAGTAACTTCCAACATTACAAGATTTCTTAAACTCTCAAATAGTACTGTGGGAATTCATAAAGCTTCCTTCTCTGCAAAACTAGACCAGACAAAGCAGTACAAATGATATTGAAAACATAGCATTGGAAAGTTTTTGGTCTAAAAAAGCTATGAAAATGTAGTATGTGCTTTTTCTAAATTCTGTAGAAAAAAACTTCAGTGATGCTCGTACATTTTTTGTCACAAAGAAGAAAGATCTTATGTGAGTGTTTATATTAAAAGGCTAGGATTTTGTTGCCATTCTTGGAGGAATCAGGAACTTCATTAGAAGTTAGATAGCTTCTCATTTAATTTATCAACCTGGTTCTGATATCAAGATAGCTGCAAAACTAGTATTATTTAGCATATACATTACTTTGCACCTTCATTTCAAACCTCTCTGCAAGTACTAATTAACACACAGGTCAACATTAAAAGTAGTCATTATTTGTTTCATCTCCAATGAAGTAAACTAAGGTACATCAAATTACTTGAAAAATTAACAGAGAGTAAAGAAAAGTCTAGAGCTCATCAAAAACGTTTACATTCAAAGTAAAATTAGCACATCTTTGGATTGTTGCTGTGCCATTCTGCATTTCAAGTGACAGCAATTTTGGGTTTTTTCTATTCTGAACCAAAAAGATTAAATGGAGAACTGCTTTTGTCCTTTCTCAGTGTAGCCTCCATTCTGCTACACATATCTGTTCTTTTGTTGCTAACTCATTCTCTTTTTCTTAAATCCCCTTTGCCTCTTCGCTCACCTCTGGCCTGCCCTGTATATTGTGAGCAACTGGTAGTGAGGGAGCAGGGAAAGGACACGTTGCCTTTATTTGTCTCTGCAGCTACTAAACGGCCTTGATCCTTGGCTGGAGTTCTCAGAAATCACCACTGGTAAACAGAGAACTGTGTACAACAGCAACAGCCATGTTATAGTTATGTTCATCCCCAGAGAAACAATGAATTTCATAATGGAATAATAATCCTGGCTTATCACTAAGGCTTTAGTGATTCCATACCCTACTTACCTCATTACATGTTTTTATTCCTTTCAGTATAGCTTATATGTATTGGAGACCTTGGACTTCCTGGTAGATTACTGAAAAACTCAACTGAATCGTGCATGAATATACCTATCGTGAGGGCTGCCCCAACAAGGTTGAATTCAACTCAAAGAGGACTGGATTTTCACAGAAAAAAAGCTCCATATTCTGCCGTGTTAGAGAACACGGTCAAGGCATATGTGACTAATCTCTACGAGGCAAATGAATCAACACCCTCTCACTGCCAAAACCATCTATAAACCCTTACAAAACACCACGGAGCATAAAAAAACCCATGCAGTTTATCTGATGGAGATAAATGTCAGATGTTTCACTATCCCACCCAAAACATAAGCTGTTTCTTAAATAATGACAGGATCCTAGGAGGGTTTTTTATTAAAAAAGTAAACTTTTTTCTCTGCTTTTGTAGCTAGCAAGAACTGTGTATCAGATAGTTTACCCTGGCAGTCGAAAATGTGACCAGAACCATCCTGAAACTGAGTGGAATGAAATCCGAGATGGATTTTTAAAAAAATTGTTTCAATTGTTATCTGAATAATTTTCTAAATAAGGATAGAATAAAGGTTTTATGTTTTATAGAGTTTCATTTAGTCATTTAATCACTATTGTCCTTGGTGAAAACTGCAAAAATCCTGTTTGACATCCAGATGCTTCTTTTGTCTCTTGCTCTCTAATGGTCTTTGAAACAAGCTTTTTTTCTGAGGATATTCAGAGTAGCTACAAAAATGAGGACCCACAGGTTGTAGTCCACACCTATCAAAATATATGATAAGTCCCTTGTGGGCTTCCATGGGCTCATTTGGACACTTGTATGCTTCCATTGCTGACATTATTCCTCTCATTTTAAACATTTCTCAACATTTTCTAAAAACCCTACTCAGCAGGGTTAAAATAAAAGTAAAATTAAAAGGTGATTGGCTTACCCCTAGAGGATGTGTTCCCTTCTGGATTTTATTGTAAGGGCTGTATTTAGGTTTAGGTGGCTTCCCAGCAGCTCTGTCTTTGTGCCTTCTACTGCTTATGTGCTGTTAAAATACATAAATGCATTTTGGGGGGGTGGGGAAGAGAAGAGTGATATTTCATTAATACATCACTTCAGGTTCTGCTTTACACAAGGATGCTCCAGTACTGAAGACTACTGCTCTCTACAACAGCATTACTTTGACTAATTCAATAACGAATGGGAACAGGCCCTGTTCCAATTTGAATGATCCTTTGTGCATCACATATTGGGACTGTGATTTTCCACTCTGCTCAGTTGAACTCTGCTTCCACTGTAATCAATTATTTTCTCACCTTTGTTAACTTCAACAGGACCTGAATCAGGTCAAAGATAGAAGCCTTTGCAAACTTCCTTCTTGTCTCTATAAAGCACCCATCAAATTCAATCCACTGCTGATAGAAAATTTTGGAAGAATATTAGATACTAAAGCATCCAGAAAATTTTGGAAGAATATTAGATACTAAAGCATCCCCTATTTGGGGGGAAAAAGGTCACAAAATTGTTCAAAACCCTAAGAAGCCTAGACCACCTTATAAGATTTCAGCTGAAAGATGGTTACATATCAAACTGACAGTGAAAAAAACCCCACAAAATCCATAATCTTCTTCATAAAATCTATGAGATTTTACAAAAATCCTTCTGCACAGACTTTATTGCAGTATTCAATGTAAGAGACCTTCTTCAGAGCTATATTTTTACTTTGATTTTCATTCTCAAGAGAGTTCTCGCAAAAAAAGACAGAGAACTGGATATTTTTTTTTCCTGAAAGTAGAAGACAAGTATTGCTATTGTCCATTACAGAATTTAATTCATTCTTGTAAAGGTCCTTAACAAGTATTTAATTCCAAAAGGCATATGGAATTAAACTGTTTTTCAGAACAAAGACTTTGTTCATCTGAAGAATGACTGAACATAACTTAGTGTAATTGCAATTTAGAGGTCACGCTTCTCAGTTACAGAGTAGCACTGATAAAAAAAATATTACAGATCCTCTCCATCTTGCATTTCTGAGCAGGTTATTCAGTGTTTTCTGAAAACACTGGCTGCATCCACCTCCACATCTTTGTCAAGGCAAATATGCGCTAAATGGCACAGTTTATTAGCTCTTCACAATTATAGTAGTGTAAAGACAGTTGTACTATGTTGCAGCTTACAGCTTCTATAACTCTTTAAGACATATATATATATATAATCAAGAGCTTTTGAGAGAATATATTCTGCACAAGGTAAAATCATATCCAAAAGAAAACTTACAACATGAAAGACAAGTACAAAGGGTAAAATCTCTAAGCTCCATTTGGATGTGAACTGTTCAACCGACACATGCTGATTGTGTTGGGACTTTATCACCATGAAAACAAAGAACAGCCAAGGATTCACACTCTGCAAGCTAGCTGAGTACCTGTTTCAGTTGTGTCTCGGAGTTTACGTGCACATCACATATTTCACAGTGAAATGTTTTGTTCTGAAGGCCTGTGTTCCCTTTATTCACAGGTCCTTTGCCTTTTACGCCTGCCCGAGGAAAGGCTTTTATGGTTCCACTTCCATTCCGAGCTTCCAGCATAGTTTTGTGCTTAGTCCCTGGAGACATTGGAAATGGGAAACAGAAACAACTTTGGCAATTTGGTTGCATTCATTGTTTTATTCTCTTTTCAAAAGAAAAATCTTATGAGCCTCAGCTTGGTGCCATGTGCTGTCCTTGGAATATGCCTCTGTTTGTCTGTATCAAAGTCATACCAATGTAACAGTATTTCACATCTGATATTTAATTACTATATTACATATCTGTAGATAATGCACTAGAACAAAGCAGACACACCAGTAAGTAGTGGCACAGTCAGGTATCCTGACGTGAAGTTAAATGGGTGTGACTTTTCTCATTAACTCCTGCTGATAATAAGACCTGAATTGTAGTTGCAAAGGAAGAGTAATTTAGCTATTAAAGATGTAGTTGGCTTTGATTTGTAGTCCTCCTGAGTGGATTGATAAACAGTATGCATTAGGTAGCTTACACTTCAATCTATAATTAACTAATTAGTCTCCAAATCAAAAAAGAGGCAGAGGTTCCCGGCAGCAACCTATGGATCATTAACGGCCTGGAAAGAAACCAAAATATGTGAGAAACTTCTATGTAAGAAAAATGCATTTGCATTTTTTATTAAAATAAAGATTGCATAGAAAACAACAGTGTCCTGTTGCTTTACCTTTATTCAGACTGAACAATTTTTTACACTGTTGACTTCCACACAGGTAGTCTGTGATAATAACGGACTACTACCGCGTACAGAATTAGTGTTCCACTGATAATTGTTGTACACATCCACATGAACACTTTTACAAGCATGTATGTGTGTGAGGACATGCACAATTTATCAGCATAGACAGCAAAAACTTGGAGGGTTGTGTTTAAGTATTCAGAATAATGTTGTGGCTCTCATCTTGATGAGAAAAACGTTTAGAGTCTAACCCTCACGTGAAGTTAAATAGGTTAAATAGGTACAGCTTTATGAACTTGAATTTTCACCAGCTGAAGAACTAGCATATAGCAAACACAGCATTCAAAACTGATTAGGCTTTGTTTCTCATGAATACCAACAAATTATCATTTCTGTTTAAATTTAAGTGGTTTCTACAGACATGCCAAAGTTATTTCTTTTTTTATTACATCATAAACCCATTGATCATCTTGCTTCAGGTATATCACCACTGTCTCTACGTTTCAAACCTAAGGTTCTCTGCCTGTTTCCCCTGCTGATAAGTAACCCCTGACATCCAAAATCAGGAGTTTTTCTGTAGGACCGTTATAGGTGGTCATTGCTACCATATTAAATCTCAAGATCTTTTAACCCTTCTCACCACAAAGCCAATCAATAAGATGCTTAAAATAGTGACTGTGAACGATGGCTCTCTACTACTCGAACTTATTGATGCCACTAGCTGTAATAACAAGAAAAGGCTTAAAAATTAAGACGGAGGTAAGCAATTAGCCGTTCAACTCTCATGCAGCAGTTGCTATCAGTTGATGAAAACAAAGCAAAAATATACACAATTTTAACAAGTTATTAACAGACAATATTGAGCTAAGAATTCTAACTCTCGTCATTGAACTCTGACTGACTGACACTCCCTCTTTCAGCCTTAATTTGTCAGATTTCAACCAAAATTAATGGCATTCATACTCAGTTTGCTAGCTGGCACAAACAAAAGTATGCAAACTCTGAACACCAAGGGTAATGAAACATGAGCTGTCATTTAGCTCCATAAGGTTTGGAAGCTGCAAAAGCTAAAATGTAAGAAAACGGGTAACTTGCATGCAGTAAAATTCCTTTCTTTCCCCTTTATGAAAGCATCTTTGCCTGTCATTTTTATTCTTTAATAGTTAATGAATTCCATGTAATTGCCAGTTTTCTGCCACCTCTTTGTCTCCTGCTGCAAGAGATCTAATCTATTCAGGGGAAGATAATTGCAGAGCTCGTGAGACAGAAGGGAGAAAAGGAAGCAAGCAAGCACTGCTCCATCTCACCACTGTTGTGCGCCTCCAGCTGTGAGGCAGAGTTGACAGCAACTTTGCATAGTGAACAGTACAGCAGTCTTTTTGCTTTTTCTTCCTCAGTCTCAACGGAAGGGCATGTGGTGCTGCTAGTGGCTGTCGTGGGGAGTTTCTCCACTTTAGAGGTGATCTCAGTTGTCATGATACTGCTCTTCCGGATTTCCACGGTTGTTGTCGTTGATATTGCTGGTGTCTCTGTGGTAGCATCTGTGGGCAAAGAGAGGAGATGGAAACAAAAAAACAAACAAATAGGTTGTGACCTTTGGCATTTGCCTGTTTTGCATCCTAATGCTGTAACCACACAGAGAGCCGGATCGTGCGGGCAATGGTTTGACTACTGGTAATGAACTAAATCTGACCTTATTGTTTATATTTTCTGTGGTTATAGAACACGGTACTCCTATGTATTGAAATGCATGTATTCCATCTCCTACACTCTGCTAATACCCAATAAATACAGAATTTGTAAACTGAAAAGACAGGTCATTAAGACTGCACCGTACAACTGAAAGGTTATCTACTAAAAGGGGTTGTGTAAATTACCAGTACAACAGGCAGTAAAAATTTATACGTAGCACTTCAGATGCATAAACTGCCATAGTACTGCATAATACTTACACTGATTGAGTAGCCAAGCTAAAGTTTTAACATTCTGTACTAATAAAATTAAAAATAACATCATTTTCTGTTCTTGATATCTGATAAAATAAAACTTTAAATTGATACTTTACTTGATATTAGCCAAAACTAATATTAAATGAAGGCCATGATTTAATACACCATATACATGTATCCATGCATTACTGTTATCCATTATTACATAATAACAGTACATACTAATAGCAGTAATTAAATATAAAACATTCTTTATCAGAAACCTAAACAAACACTAACAAGATTTGCATCGTGTGTATCAGTGGTATATTTGGAAAAACTGTAAGCATGTTATATACCTAAATCTATTTGGAAGCCTAATGCCTGCATCTAACAACTCATGCTTTTTTAGTAGTTTTCAAATCCAAGAGAGAGAAAATACACAATGATACCGTGGTTTAAATAATATGTACATCACATTTGGATATGGCAGTATCATTTGGTAGTTAATTACTTAGCAGGGTAGAGGACAGTGAGATCCAGCACTGAGCCAGTGGAGAAGGCAGCAAACAAGGGACAGCAGAAGGAAAGAAGGGACAGGAGCTGTTCTGCCTTTGCATTGTTGTATTTTGACACATTAAGCCTACTGAGCAGCAGCTTCCCCCATAAGAAATCTTAGTTACTTTACTGACATATTCCTGGAATTGGGTACTTTCCAACATAGACAGCTCATTTTGGTTTCAAACTACCCTTGGTGTTAGTGGTGCTCTAACTGTACTATGTTTTATTCATTGCCATCTATTAGAATAGGCAAAATAACAATTCTTTTGCTTATAGATCTCAGTATGTGCTGTGACGCGGGAGGGACACAACTAAATGACGCTGCAGAGGTCTGTTTCAAACTAATACTGTTCAGCAACTTCATTAATGAAGAACATGCCTAATGACTTAGCAGACAACAGCAAACTGGGAGCAAGTGCAAACACACTGAGAGACATGACTCACAACAATTCTAACACATTGGAGAAGCAGTCTAGACAGTTAGATACTTTTCAGTAAAGCCAACTGCAGGAATCCACACTCAGTAGGATTAACCCGATCTATGAAAACAGGATGAAGCACAGCCCCAGTACTACTTTTTAGGGAGGTTTTTCTGTTTGTTTAATTGTGGTTTGTTTTCTTTGGTTTTTTGTTTGCTTGTTTTTCAGAAAAAGCTTTCATTAGTGGATACCAAGACAAACAGAGATCTCTTATATCATCGTGTTATGAAACAGGTCCCCACCATATCGAAAGTGCAGATAAAGTATTTTTTTCTCCTCTAATCAGCACTGGAGGCTCTGTGTCCAACCTGCAGACTGCAACGTCAAAAATTAAAAATTACTTGCTTTGTTGTTAATCCAGCAGCAATACAAATGCAAGCCAACAAAAGAGTGGCTGTGAGAGAGGAAGCCAAAACAAACCGAGGTTTAGAAAACATGGACTGTGAATACAGAAGATGAAGAGTAAACACTGACAACATTTTTCATATCTGTAGAAGGTAGCTAAAAATGAGAGAATAAACCCTTCTCCCTGATCCCTCCTAATAGAACAAGGACTACTGGATTACATCAAGAGAGACTTAGATTAGACATCAGGAAATTCTTTCTAATATTAAAGCTTGTAAAGCCTGAGAACAGTCTGCCCACAGAGATCCAGAAATATTGCCTACTGGAGAACTTGGAAATGGCTGAACAAATATCTGCAGGAGCAAGCTCCCCTTTCAGTCAGTGGGAATAGTACCCTTCAAGCCCTATTAATTTCTATACATTCTATTTTATAATATTTCTACATATTCTCCCAGAGGGTTTTCAAAAATCATTATTCATGAAACAAAGTTTATCATGTGAATATTCACAATATTCATCATATTGTCAGGCATTAAAGCATACAGCAAAAAATAGGTCCCACTGAAAGTCTAATCAAAGTTGAGGTTTTTTTCTGAGAGTGAGTCTGGAGGTGGTTATATCCTGAAGATACTGGGGATGTCAAATACTAATGCAGAAGGAATGATGTTACCTTGCTGAACATTCTGTTCTTATTTATTATTTTTTACAGATTGACAATAATGTTTCAAAAGAAAAATAATATTTTTGAAATATTAAGGCTTTTGTTGAGAAACTGATGGGTAAATGAAGCCTTTGTAGATCTGTCCACAAAATTACACATTTAACTAGCCATTCCTTTCCCATCCCAGAAAATCCATGTTGATGTTGGCTTTCCTTCAGTTGAAAGTTACTGCAGTGAAATTATTTTCCTCAAAAGCCCACTCACAACAGTAAATAACGCTGCTTTTAAAATTCCATCGTGGTACTACTGTACAGTAGTAGGTCTAGCCAATGTACTTTCCTGGTGAAAAGGACGGCAGAGGGCAGATGGCACCAGAGAGAGGGAAGGAAAATGGCAAGGTTGGTGCTCATTCTAATCTTGCAGGAAATTAGACATGTACATCAGTAACCATTACCAGCTTTGCAGTGCAAGAGTCAGTATTTTGTCCTAAGAAAAATACAGATCATAATTTATTTTCCAGAGGAAATGAAAAAAAAAAAAAGCTTAAATAACCACAGATTTTATTTTGGTTCAAATATTTGACTTCCTATATCTATGTTGATCTAATATTTTACCGTGTAATTATTTTAAAGTGAAAATACAATCTATTATGCTGGTCCTTTTTAGGGTATTTAGACATGCATGCATGAAAGCAGCATTGTGTACAAAAATTAAACTAAAAATGATAAATGTCATCAGTATTCTTCAACTAACAAAAATATCACAGTTCAGAGCATATATTCTGCTCATATACCTTTCAAAAGGTGCCCTATATCAATACATTATATATTCCACTAATGCAAATGCATTAATGACATCAAAACATGTACGAGAAAACCATCAAAATTCACCATCTAATAGCCATAGCACATTTAAAGATGTAAAGCTGCTCCTCCCCATAGAAACTTTAAACTGTCTGCAGGACTTCAGGGCAAAACATTCTGAAAACTGTCAGGTAAACTTACAAAGAGAGAATTCAAATCCTTTTCTCACCAGAACTTCTAAAACAAGCATGCATGTCTGAATATATTACAGTGTTGCTGCCTGTACACAGTTTAGTGCCCTAAATACAACATAGAGCATTAAAGGTATAAGAGATTTTAGAAAAAAACAAATCACCAAAAAGAAGTCAGAAGGCATTTGAACTGATGCGTTGAAGACTGAATCAACATTTCTTAACAGTATATTATGACAGTGCTTTAAGAACTATTTCAATAATAAATGATCTAAAATCGAGCTGAAAGTTCAGTCACAGTCAAATGGAAGATTTGTTTCTGGTGACGCAGGCTTGCAGCACTGTGCTATTTTCATACCAGTGGCCTGCAGCAAATATTCATTATTGCAACTGTCACTGCTTGGCTTTGGCATAGAAGCTGACTGCTAATATTGTATGGAACTGGACTCCAGCAGCAAAAAAAGGGAACACTTCAGGATTCACAATAATTCTTTTGTGTTCCTGGCCTTAATATAGCGACAGAATAAAAATTAAAAATACTAAAAAAATTATATTAAAGAGTAATCTTTCCCACTGGCAAAATCAAAGATTTATTTTAACAAGAAGACAAACCCAGATGAAAAACATTGTGTGAGAATTGGCTCCTTTGGGTACTACAGATACCGTAATTCAAGGGGAAACCTGCAAGTGTGTGATTAAGGTCCTCCTAAGTAAGCAGGATTAAATTTATATCCCAGTTATAAGATACATGCATTTTCTTTAGGCTAAAGAAACAGAAAATTACAACTCATGCTTTTCTTCTGAGTAAAAGTGAAAAGTCTCACTCATCAGTTCCTGCTACTAAGCATAAGAATTTCTTATCCTGAAACTATAAATAGATCCACAGAGAAAAGTGCTATGACTTCAAACAAGTCTCAACTATTTATGAGCGTATTTTTTCTTCCGCAATGTCAAGAGGCATGCATTTTAAAATATCTGATTTAGCACACACCCATGCTTTCTGGTCTCATTTAAATCTCATTTAAATCAAACTTTGCCTTTGATATAAAAGGATTGAGCTTTTGGCCCATAATGCTGTCCAGGAAAAAACAAAAAAACCCAAACACATCCCCCCATCCCTCACCCCCTCTAAACTAGAAAGCACATTCTTTCTCATGAAAAAGAGAACTTGATATGAAATATTTCACTATACTATAAGGCCTCCTAGTATTGCAAAAACATCGTCAGCTGGCTCACTTGTAGCAAAACCGCATCAAGTAACAGAATGCTCCCATACGGGTGCTTGATATCGGCATGTTCAAAAGAGCCTCAGCATATTCTTTTCCTGCCTACTAAGAACAGGGTCCTCCATTTCCTTGGGCTGCTTTGAAAATCCCATGCTCCGTATCCTCTGTGGTAATTACATTGGAAGATAAGACGTACTTTCTTTTGAATCTATAAATATAGCAGTGGAGTATATTAAAAACAAAGTACCATCTCAAATATAACTGTGTGACTTTTTTTCGTGCTTGGCTGATTTTCCATACTCATATGCTAAAACATAAGCATGTGTGCTAGCACATTGGCTGGCTCT